CAAACCCGGTTCTCCCAGATTAGAGTCCACACTCCTAACCACGACACCAAACTGGCTGTCAGAGATGTTTTTATGCCCCTCCCTTTTGGGGGCTTCCTCATCCCCACCCGGGCGCCCACTCACCCGACTCGGAGATGTCGTCCCAGTACGGGGAGTCGAACTCGTATTCAGCTTTCAGAATCTGGTTGAAGAGCTCAGAGTCATTCTCGTCGTAGAACGGGGGGTAACCGCACAGCCTGCGGGGAGGAGGGGAAACCACGTATCTCAGTTTGTGCACCACAACGAGGCCACCCCCAATGCTAACCCAGGAAGCAGGGAGATACGCACAAGATGTACGAGATGACCCCGAGGGCCCACGAGTCCACAGATTTTCCGTACGGCTTCTGCTCCAGAATCTCAGGGGCTGCGGAGGACACAACGGCCAAGAAATGAGAGGAAGGCGCGAGACCTCTTCCCCTCCCCCCCTCTCCAATGTTCCCTCTAAGCTGTGGAGTCTTGTGAGCAGAAATGCTACTTTGTGAGCTGCTGGCATTAAAGTTGTGAGCAAGCAATTTGGCTACTGATTAAATCAGTTTGCTCTGGAGCCCTCCTTCCTGAGCTAAGGCAAAAATGTGTGAGCCAGAGGCTAAAAGACTGTGAGCTAACTCACACTAACTCAGCTTAGAGGGAACACTGCCCCCCTCCCCTCTGGCTCTCTGTTGGCATGAGGGGTAAGGGAACCGCTGGCATAGACCGCTGGTGACAGTTTCGCCTCTGTACAGCCTGTGACCATCTGTGCTTCCCCCCCCCCATAATGGAACAGCGGAAATATTAGAAAAGTACCTCTGGGCATGAACAGAGTGCCTTCCCCTTCCCACTGAGCAATCCCCATGCAGAATTACAGGACAGGGCGTCCACTTCGGGCCCTGCTTTTGAGACATCCGACCTGTCCTCGCCTCTGTTCACAGCATTCCGTTCATATGGCCCATCGCTAAACGTACAACAAGCAACGCAATACGACTGCCCCAATGTCTACACAGACATCAGAGCTGTGACCCTTGCGCTGATCTGGATAGCCCAGTCAAGCTCGATCTCGTCAGAAGCTAAGCAGAGCCGACCCTGGCAAGTCTTTGGATGGGAGACCTCCAAGGAATACCAGGGTTGGGAGGCAGAGGCAGGAAATATCAAACCACTTTTCTGAAATGTCCTCCGTACCCCAGTAGGAGTCGCCAGTGGTCGCCATGACTTCCAGGCACGGGCACGCACAAACACACACAATGCAAAAAGAAGAAGAAGAAGAAGAAGAACTACGACCCTTAGTTTATCAACGGGCCAACGCCATATTGTGCACCTGGCTCTGGTTCTCGTATTTCTGCGAGCTTTGGGGTCTTTGGGGGTCTCTGTTCTCCTTGACCATGAAGAGACAATGGCCCTTAGGTCAGGTACTATTAGCCTTAACTAGACCAAACTAGACGATATGGACATCCCCAGGGATACCTGCCGTTTTGAAACAGTGAGTTCCCAGCTGGGAACTCCTTCAAACTGCACCGTGGGGGCCCAGTTCTGGTCTCCATCAGAACTAGGGCCCTGCAGTGCAGCTGAAAGGCAGTGAGAACTCGCTGCTTTAAAATGGCGGGCTTCTCCAGGGATGCCTGTATTGTCTAGTTCAGCCCTAAGAAAAGCCCTGATGGATTGGACCAAAACAGTGCCATTGTAAGCAGTGGGATACCCCTCCAAGTCCACTGAAGCCGTGGGGCTTACTCAGCACAGGATGATGGGACAATGTAGTCCAGAGTCCTGTTTCCAAAACCTCCCACAAGAAAGGCATGAAGGCCACATCCCTTTCACTTTTTAAATTCTTCTTATCTGTTCTTCAAAGGTATTCTTCTGAAGAAGTGAGCCAGTGACTCACAAAAGCTCCTTCCCCTGCCACATGTTTTGTTAGTCTTTAAGGTGCTACTGGACTCTTGCTCTTTTCAACTTCTGAACATCTAGTTAAAGTTCCAGTTAGCTCAGGGGTTGTCGAACTCATTTGTCATGAGGGCCGGACCTGACATAAATGAGACCTTGTTGGGCCGGGCCGTGTGTGTCATAAAATGTAATGCCAGGTAGCGGAGATATTCCCCTTTTAAAGCTGTTTATTCCTGTGGCCATCACTACCTCCTCTGGCAGCGAATTCCGCATTCTAATCACTTCTCTGTGGAAAGTAGTATTTCCTTTTGTCCGTCCTGAATCTACTGCCCATCAGCTTCATTGGATGCCCTCGAGTATACAGTTCCCGATCAATACTAGTTCAGGGTTTTAAAGAAAGAGTTAATGCCTCTGTACGGACTCCCAAGTTCCTCCCTCTGCCCCAACCTCTAGCCCCAGAAGCCGGAAACAAGAGGAGGTGGAGGAGGAGGAAGAGGTGGAGAGGAAGAGGAAGAAGAGGAGGAGGAGATTGGATTTATACCCCGCCCTTCACTACCCAAAGGAGTCTCAGAGCGGCTCACAATCTCTTTTCCCTTCCCCTCCCCACAACAGACACCTTGTGAGGTAGGTGGGGCTGAGAGAGCTCTCCCAAGAACTGTCCTTGAAAGAACTTATGACTGACCCACAGTCACACCAGCAGCTGCATGTGGAGGCGTGGGGAATCAAACCCGGTTCTCCCAGATTAGAGTCCACACTCCTAACCACGACACCAAACTGGCTGTCAGAGATGTTTTTATGCCCCTCCCTTTTGGGGGCTTCCTCATCCCCACCCGGGCGCCCACTCACCCGACTCGGAGATGTCGTCCCAGTACGGGGAGTCGAACTCGTATTCAGCTTTCAGAATCTGGTTGAAGAGCTCAGAGTCATTCTCGTCGTAGAACGGGGGGTAACCGCACAGCCTGCGGGGAGGAGGGGAAACCACGTATCTCAGTTTGTGCACCACAACGAGGCCACCCCCAATGCTAACCCAGGAAGCAGGGAGATACGCACAAGATGTACGAGATGACCCCGAGGGCCCACGAGTCCACGGATTTTCCGTATGGCTTCTGCTCCAGAATCTCAGGGGCTGCGGAGGACACAACGGCCAAGAAATGAGAGGAAGGTGCGAGACCTCTTCCCCTACCCCCCTCTACAATGTTCCCTCTAAGCTGTGGAGTCTTGTGAGCAGAATTGCTACTTTGTGAGCTGCTGGCATTAAAGTTGTGAGCAAGCGATTTGGCTACTGCATAAATCAGTTTGCTCTGGAGCCCATCCCTTCCTGAGCTAAGGCAAAAATGTGTGAGCCAGAGGCTAAAAGACTGTGAGCTAACTCACACTAACTCAGCTTAGAGGGAACACTGCCCCCCTCCCCTCTGGCTCTCTGTTGGCATGAGGGGTAAGGGAACCGCTGGCATAGACCGCTGGTGACAGTTTCGCCTCTGTACAGCCTGTGACCATCTGTGCTCCCCCCCCCCATAATGGAACAGCGGAAATATTAGAAAAGTACCTCTGGGCATGAACAGAGTGCCTTCGCCTTCCCACTGAGCAATCCCCATGCAGAATTACAGGACAGGGCGTCCACTTCGGGCCCTGCTTTTGAGACATCCGACCTGCCCTCGCCTCTGTTCACGGCATTCCGTTCATATGGCCCATCGCTAAATGTACAACAAGCAACGCGATAGACTGCCCCAATGTTTACACAGACATTAGAGCTGTGACCCTTGCGCTGACCTGGACCGCCCAGTCAAGCCCGATCTCGTCAGAAGCTAAGCAGGGCCGACCCTGGCAAGTCTTTGGATGGGAGACCTCCAAGGAATACCAGGGTTGGGAGGCAGAGGCAGGAAATATCAAGCCACTTTTCTGAAATGTCCTCCATGCCCCAGTATGGTCGTCAGTAGTCGCCATGACTTCCAGGCACGGGCACGCACAAACACACACAATGCAAAAAGAAGAAGAAGAAGAAGAAGAACTACGACCCTTAGTTTATCAACGGGCCAACAATGCTGTTTTTCAGGCCATAGTGTGCACCTGGCTCTGGTTCTCGTATTTCTGCGAGCTTTGGGGTCTTTGGGGGTCTCTGTTCTCCTTGACCATGAAGAGACAATGGCCCTTAGGTCAGCTACTATTAGCCTTAACTAGACCAAACTAGACGATATGGACATCCCCAGGGATACCTGCCGTTTTGAAACAGTGAGTTCCCAGCTGGGAACTCCTTCAAACTGCACCGTGGGGGCCCAGTTCTGGTCTCCATCAGAACTAGGGCCCTGCAGTACAGCTGAAAGGCAGTGAGAACTCGCTGCTTTAAAAAAGGCGGGCTTCTCCAGGGATGCCTGTATTGTCTAGTTCAGCCCTAAGAAAAGCCCTGATGGATTGGACCAAAACAGTGCCATTGTAAGCAGTGGGATACCCCTCCAAGTCCACTGAAGCCGTGGGGCTTACTCAGCACAGGATGATGGGACAATGTAGTCCAGAGTCCTGTTTCCAAAACCTCCCACAAGAAAGGCATGAAGGCCACATCCCTTTCACTTTTTAAATTCTTCTTATCTGTTCTTCAAAGGTATTCTTCTGAAGAAGTGAGCCAGTGACTCACAAAAGCTCCTTCCCCTGCCACATGTTTTGTTAGTCTTTAAGGTGCTACTGGACTCTTGCTCTTTTCAACTTCTAAACATCTAGTTAAAGTTCCAGTTAGCTCAGGGGTTGTCAAACTCATTTGTCATGAGGGCCGGATCTGACATAAATGAGACTTTGTTGGGCCGGGCCGTGTGTGTCATAAAATGTAATGCCAGGTAGCGGAGATATAAACTTTATAAAGGACACAAGCACAAAGGTGTTTTTTTTTACTTAAAATAAAAACATGCTTAAAACATCAGCACTCTTGCAATATTTTGTTTGTTTAACAGTGTCTGATAACTGACACCTCTTGCTCTGAATGATTGCGTCAAACTGTCTGCGTTGTTGCAATCTTGACTATGCTGTTCAGGTGTGTATCTGTAAGCTGCAAACCTACGATGACGCAGCAGCAGCAGCAGAACTGGAAGAAGAAGCAGAAGACAACCAGCTCCCCTGCGGGCCTGATAGGAGCCCTCCGGGGGCCTGATCCGGCCCCCGGGCCGCATGTTTGACACCCCAGATTTAGCTATCGTAGCCACTCACGTACGTTAGTTCTCACTTGGATTCAAGGCATATTACACAGGGTGAGTCCATACAACGGACAGATGGGACATTCAATAAACAATGCCATAGGATCAGAGCTGTAGAACCAACCAGACGTCTCAAAACAGAACTGAAACACCAGGGAGGCGGGCAGACCTTAAAACCTGAAGAGGCCGATAGACTTGACCGCCGGATTGAAGCTGCCTTACTATAATAGAGAGGGCCCCCCCTCCCCATTCTCCCCACCTCGACCCCGTGCCGTACTCACCCACGTAGCCAGGGGTGCCACACGCCGTGGACATGATCCCGTCGGCCTCAATCTTGGACAGCCCGAAGTCCGTGATCATGATCTTGGCGCCCTCGAACGGAGTGGCATAGAGAAGGTTCTCGGGCTGTTCGGGGGAAAAGACGGATCAGCCGCTGCCTGCCACGTGACCCGGGCGCCAAACACCTCTGGAGGTGTAGACGGGTGGTCGGCCATTTTACCCGCACGGCAAGGTCGCCCAGGCACAGAAACAGAGCTTAGCCCAAAGGACCACCTTCCTACAGAGTTGCCAACCCCTCAGTGGCAACAGACACACAAAAATGGAAATACAGAGAATGTCTGGAATTCTATTTAATAAAAACAATTCTGGTAAAAATGGAATACTAGTTTCTAATATTTTTTGAAGTATCTTATGAATCCATGCCCAATATTTTTTTACTTTTTTACAAGACCACCACATATGAAAGAAAGAACCTATATTTTGTTTACATTTCCAACATTCATAGCGTGACAGATTATTCTGTTTGTTTGTTTGTATTAGGGATGTATATTTGGTTCATCTAAACCGAATGTACCCACTGAAAATGGCCCATTCAGGCCCCTTTTGGGCTGCTGTGGGCCGGTTCAGATTCTCTGATCTGAATCGGCTTGCTGCCGAATTGCCGCCGAATTCGGCCCCATTATATTAACATGCAGGAGTCTTTCTGCCGGCCGAAATTGATTCTGCCCGATTCGGCCGAATCCAAATCGGGCCGAATTTTTTTTTAAATTTTGCACACCCCTAGTTTGTATAACCCCCAGGTGGGGGTTGGAGATCTCCTAGGATTCTCCAGGCAATACAGATCAGTTCACCTGGAGAAAACGGCTGTTTCGGGAGGACTCTACGGCATTATATGCCACTTTAGTCCCTCCCCTCCCCAACCCTGCCCTCCTCAGGCTCCACCCCCAAAATCTCCAGGGATATCCCAAGGTGGAGCTTGGCAACCCTACCTTCATAGACGGACAGAGATCTGAACGTAACTCAACAATCTATCTCTACAGAGGCAGTCCCAGGTATATTATTTATTTAAAATATTTATTGGCCACTTTTCTTTTTTAGGGAGACCAAGGCGGCTTAGAAAGTAGATGAAAATACGTAACAGAAAAGACAATAAAAACATAACATCCATTTTTTAAAATCACAATTCGGGACTTCTAATAAACGTAAGGCGGTCCTAAACAAAACCGTCTTGAGCTGCCTCTGAAAGATGGAAAGTGAGGGGGGCCAAGCGTACCTCCCTGGGGAGGTTGTTTCAGAATTGTGGGGCTGCCGCCAAAAAGGCCCCGTCACATGTACCCACCAAATGGGTTTCTTTGCTTGATGGGACAGCCCAAAGGGCCTGTCTTTGTGATCATAATTCCTGGGCAGGATACATCCCAAGATCTGCTTTACTGTTCAAAACCAGATGTCCATAAACTGGTTACACTTCCTGGGCTGAATCTGTCTGGTTGTCTGGTGGAATGAACAGCTTTAAAAGGGGATTAGAGAGATTCATGGAGGATAAGTCTATCAGTGGCACTAAACTTCTGAATAGCAGAGTCAGGAGGCAACATCAGGGGAAGTCCTCGGCCTCTCTGCCCTGTTGGTGGCCCTCCAGAGGAACTGGCTGGCCCCTGTGTGAGACGGGAGGCTGGACTAGAGGGACCCTCCCTGGTCTGACCCAGCAGGGCTCTTCTGGTGTCCTTCTCAGGGGAAGGCCTCGGCCTCTCTGCCCTGTTGGTGGCCCTCCAGAGGAACTGGCTGGGCCCTGTGTGAGACGGGAGGCTGGACTAGAGGGACCCTCCCCGGTCTGACCCAGCAGGGCTCTTCTGGTGTCCTTCTCAGGGGAAGGCCTCGGCCTCTCTGCCCTGTTGCTGGCCCTCCAGAGGGACTGGCTGGCCCCCGTGTGAGACGGGATGCTGGACTGGATGGACCACTGTTCTGATCTAGCAGGGTTCTTCTGATGTTCTCATGATTCCTTGAAGTGTTACGACGGCTCCTTGGACCTACCGACGCCCTTTGCCCTCTTACCTTGAGATCTCGATGGACGATGCCCAGGCTGTGCAGGTAATTCACCGCTTCCAAGACCTGCCGGACGAGGAGGCTGGCGTCCTTCTCCGTGTAGTAGCCCCGCTCGATGATGCGGTCGAAGAGCTCCCCTCCCGTCACCCTGCAGACCAAAGACAGATTGGTTCATGGCCCGCATTTCCCTCTGGAGTGTTGAATTATTTAGCTGCAAGGCCCATCCTCAAACTGCCAAAGGAACGGAGAGGGTCTAGCATCCGGCCTGACTGCCCCAAAGGGTGTGATCGAAGTCTGAATGCCTCGGAGGCCCTTGGAGGCTCAAATGTGCTGTGGAACCACCAACTGGAGAAGCCGTCAGTCCAAGGCACTCTTTTCTTTCAAATCTCTTTTTGAAAGCCACCGTTTGATTAAGGACTGGCCTCCCGTCCCTTAGAGCATGTCCCCATTCAGGACAATGAGACCAGCTCCCAATCCTTCATTCTGTCAGCAGAGGCCCTTTCGTCCAGCGCAACAAATTTTCCCTGATGCAAGATACTCTTCCAAGCCCCTTTCCCCTGCCTTCCAAAAAAGAGGAACCCCCCCAAAAAAAACCATCAGAAAAGAAAGAGAGAGAGAGAGAGAGCGCCATTAGTACTCAGGGGAAAGACAGACGGGCAGGCAGGCAGGGAGGGAGGGAGAAACTGTTAGTACTCAGGGGACGGACGGACGGAAGGAAGGAAGGAAGGAAGGAAGGAAGGAAGGAAGGAAGGAAGGAAGGAAGGAGAGAGAACCGTTAGTACTCAGGGGAAGGAAGGAAGGA